GGGGGGGGTGGGGGGGGGTGTGGGTGTGGATGTGGGGTGTGGGTGTGTTTTTGAAAGAAAAAGTCGAATTAACAATGCAAATGATAAAGAAAACAAAGAGACCAAACAAATGATAAATAAATAAATTTGACAAAAAAAAGAAAGATTTTTCATTTTAGAATTGAATAAATAAATGAATAAATAGGCTAAGACAAAAAAAAGAAATGGATAAATGAATAAATAAATGAATTTACGAAAGAACAAATAAAGAAATCTAATGTTTTTGATTTATTTTGAGAATTTCCTTTAGTTTGTTTGTTTAGGTTTTATATGAATTTTGTGTGTTTTTTGTGTTTGTAGGAGTATGAAATGAAAAAAGCTGGTTTTGTAATAATAAATGTAAGAGAAAAAGAAAGATTGAATTTGAATTTGGATAAATAAATAAATGAAAGAGACTTTTTTTTAATGAAAGAGAATTTCAGATTTGGAATTTTAGTAAGAAAAGTGGATGAATATGTTTAGTAAGAAAATGTTTTTTGAAACTGGATAACGAAAAAAGAAATCTAATTATATTTTGGATGAGAAAAACAAAAATGAATTTTTATTTAAGAAGCAAATAATTTAAAGAACAAAAAATAAATTTGAATAAGAAGAAAAAATAATAAATTTGTTTTAGGAGCGAAAAAGAAAAATATTTAATTTTGGTTTTCGAAAGGAAAACTTTTTTTGGTTAGAAAGAATCTTTTTTAAGAGTCTTTAAGAGCAAACTTTGTTTTTGTATAAATTTTAATTTTGAATGTTTTTGTATAATTTTATTGACAATAAATATTGAAAAGTAACACTTGTAATGAGCGACGCGTTTCGAATATTCTTCAGGCTATGAATGACTATCCTCTACTCTTCCCTTCCCTTTTATCCTATTCTCTTTCCTTTCTTCGCTCCTTTGTTCTACTCTCGGGGTGTGGGTCAATAAATAACTAATTCTCGCACTCACACCCACACCCACAACCACACCCAAACCCACAGCCACCCACCCCACACCCACAACCCTGCTGGTACCTATAACGGTAATGAATATCATGGTCTTCATCATCATCAACGTTACCCCAATTAAAAAGACTAGGATCACTTCCGCATTAGTTTGTTTTTTTTTGTACCTTCTGTTCCACATTTATAATTCAACATAATAAAAGTCTCAATGAATTACATACAAATATTGATCTATTTATATTTGCAGACAAAATATAAAATAAAATAACCAACGAACAATAAATATTTAATTCTTTTAGCAGGTATTAAAAGATGTTCATTTATCAACGAGAGTTTTGTCATTATTTATATGATTCTCATTGACAATTATGAACATAAATGTTTTTTTTTAATTTACTTCAATAATTATCACTGAATTTTTATCAATTATTGAAGCTGTAGATATAAATCTAGAACGAAGGTTAATTCACACTTCATACACATCTATATTCTCGTTATTACAATTTTATTGAAGTTCAGCGTTAAGTTTCTTCGACAACATGTACCACTGCACCAATATTGACGAGTGCGCCAAAGCAGGAAGAAAAAGTCTCAATGCTTCCACGTTGTTATATTTGCGCATTAAAGAGTATATAAAATATTATTCTTTGTTTAGCTTTTATCAAGTAGCTTGAAAAAGAACAGCGTCATTTTTTCTTCGTATTTTCAAGCCAATCAAATACAAGAGTACGATAGAAAAAAAATCTTAAGGAACGACATTTCTAATACTAAGAATTCTTCTCTCAGAATAATAAAAAAACGACTCATGAAACCAACGATATTTCTTCATAAATAGAAGTAATGCAAGACTCGATTATTTTCAGTTCAGTCTAAGATACTTGAACAATAATATCATTCAAGAAGTACAAAATTTGACAGTAACTCATTAATTATTTTTCGGTATTGATAAATAATGTTTTTTCTCTAAAACATTGAAAAACAAATCCAAAGCAGCTAGAAGGTACATTACTATTCATAAATAAATTACTACTTATGATGTATTTGTTCCAGTGAGTAAACTGTATATACGTATTTTTTATTTCCCTGGTGAAACTGGGAGAATGAAAAAAAGAATACAAAATGCTTTTGTATTCAATAGATGAGGGAAAAAATAAGGTAATACTTTTTCGTTCCTTCAGTACTAA